GACTCCCCTTTGCGGGTGGCACACTACATGGGACCATAGTCACTGGCCTGGAAGGGAAAGGAAGTTGCCAAGTGGCCTGCAGTCTGCTGTCAGACCATCACATGCTCTGAGACCAACAAGTGGTGGGTGGCAGGCAACAGGGTCAAGCACTGGCAGAGGTCTGCCCTTTCACCCTGGGGGGTCTCTCCAACCTTGGGGTTTGCTGGCAGCTCCTCCCACCCGTCACACACACACTGTCCATGCCACTAGCCACGTCTGCCTGGTCTCTGCTCTCCACTGTGGTTGCCCACCTCCTGTCCTGGCTCTAACCAGCCTCACATTAATGCTCCGACAGGGTCCAGGCCCCCTTTCCTCTGCCTGGTCCCTGCCTTTTCCGGACCCTCCACTTGGCTGTCCCCACTGGTCTCCCATGGTGCCTCTTCCCTATCTCTGAGGAGCTGCCTGTCTCCAGTCCCAGCAGGCACAAGGTCCTTCCAGTACGGAGAGGCGCCCTGGACCCAGGTCTTCTCCTGCACTGGCCAGCAGTTCCCACAGACTCATTGGTGACAAATGAATGGGAAGTAGAGGTGGGATGCAACCATGTGTCATGCCCTGGGAGACAGAAGAGCCAGGGTTCAAGCTCTGATGTATACAACCGTGGACAGCCCCAGAGCCCCTGCCAGGGCATCCTGGGCTCCTCCTGGCTGCTGTGGGGAGCACCCCTGCCAGGGCATCCTGGGCTCCTCCTGGCTGCTGTGGGGAGCGCCCCTGCCAGGGCATCCTGGGCTCCTCCTGGCTGCTGTGGGGCTCCTGAGCGGCACACGACATGCCTCACTCTTCCCAGTTCCATCCTGATATGTGAGTCAAGAGTCGAGTCTCTACCCTCAGATGCCAAGAAGGCTGCAGCCCCTACCCTGACACTGCTACACTCTGACCTCCACCCCAAGCACTATGTGCTCCCCCAGCTCCTCCCGCACCTCTCTATCCAGCAGGCAGAGACCTTCCACTCACTCCCCCGGAATGTGACCCCGAGGCAAGTGGCAGTTCCTCTGTGAGCACCTGTGCCTATGCACCATGCCTACCGGGCACGGTACCTACACTGCAATCCCATTTCACAGAGCAGAAGTCTGAGGTATGGGGAGAAGATGCCCATTGAGGTCTCATGGCCAGGGGCGTCAGTCTCTAAAGCTATGCTGAGATGGGGGCCCTCACAGGGGGAGCCATTACTACTCCACTTTGTCCCTGCTCCTGCCCACAAACCCTCTGGGCAGCCCCCAGACTCAGGACTCAGGACCTGGCTCCAAGTCCACACCATTCTATCCCTGTCTTTGAGTTACCACTCCAGAGGGAGGGGGCCCTGAAGCCCCAAACCTGTTTGTTCAGGTGCCAAAGAGGGATCAGCACCACCCTTCCACCCGAGAGGAGGTAGGCACTGGCCTGTGTGAGCACAGAAGATTCTCTTGGGGTGAGAAGCCACCCAGAAATCCACTTCCTCTCCCTTCCACAACCCCTCACGGCCAGGTTGTGATGGGGTCATGGAGCTCCAGGGTGGCCCCCTCCTGAGTGGGGAACCAGGGTGCTGCAGCACAACTGGACACAGCTGAGAGAGAATGCGGATTTTGGGGGACCAGAGGAGGCTCCCTCCAGCTGTCCTGGCACATGAGCCTTTATTGCAGGATCCATGTGATCACAACTGAGCATTCTCCGGGTGAACCAGAAAGCATTGCTCAATTCTCTTGATGCTCAGGAGCCTTGCAGCACCCAAAACAGGAAGTGCAGGCTAAACTGGGGGCCACACCATCAACCATGCAGCTGCCCAACAGGAAAACCTGCCCATCCCTCCACCCTCAGCTCACCCAGGAGCCACAACCAACCTGTTCACCTAATGACCACATCCCCCAGCTCTCCTGATGGCCACATCCCCCAGCTCACCTGATGGCTCCGTCCCCACAGTTCACCTGATGGCTCCATCCCACCAGCTCACCTGATGGCTCCGTCCCTCCACCTCACCTGATGGCTCCATCCCTCCACCTCACCTGATGGCTCCGTCCCTCCACCTCACCTGATGGCTCCATCCCTCCACCTCACCTGATGGCTCCGTCCCCACAGTTCACCTGATGGCTCCATCCCTCCACCTCACCTGATGGCTCCATCCCTCCACCTCACCTGATGGCTCCGTCCCTCCACCTCACCTGATGGCTCCATTCTACCAGCTCTCCTGATGGCTCCATCCCACCTGCGATGCCCTGCTCTCTGGGTGTGTCCCTGCTGGCCTGGACGTGGAGCAGAGGGGGCAGGTGAGTTCTACCCAGGCCTGGGTTTGCCCTGCCGTGATCCCCTAAGGATAGCACCAGCCATTGGTCATCTGCACGGATGCACTCGACTGCTTGAGTTGGTGCAGCTGACAGAGAACAGGCAAGGACAGTCCAGACTAGAGGACACAGACTGGGGGCGGGTCTTACTTCTACCCCTTCCAAGGGTTCAGCTTTACTGTCTGAGGCAGCCTCTTGCCCTAGGACACCGCCCCACTGAGCTCTCCCTGGGGGTGCTGGTTTGCAGTCCTGTGGCTCACCCCCATGTGGTGGCAGCACACACAGGTTGATGCAGTGTCCTAGCAGGAGGCCTGACCTCGGGCGGTGATCACAGGTCCCTGGGTGCTGGGGCCTCCCAGCAGGTGTCCACCTCGCCCGCGTGATCATCTGCTGTCCTCCAGGGCTGGGGTTCAGGGTTCACCCTTCTGGGACAGGGCTCAGCTCTTGCTGTGCCAGGGTCCTAGGGAGTGCCAGGATCTGGAATGGGACACCACAGGAGAGCTGAGCTCGCTTCCTGCACCCACTCCATCAGTGCCCCTTTGCTTCCCCTCCCCTCACCTGTCTGGGCACCCCTCCCCCCATTCACAGTCTGGCCCTCCCCGGCCTTCCCTGGGATTAGCTGACCAAGCTAATCCCCTCCCTGGCCTCCTCAGCCACTCTGAACCAAAAGCCTAGGCCCTTGGCTGGGGCCCCTCTCTCCCGGGGGCCGTGTGGCCTGGCCTCCCCGGGGGTGACTCATGCTGCAGGAGCTGGCACAGGGTGACTCAGTGCCTTGGAGCTCCTGGAGACCACTTTCCTCCTCAGACCCGCCCACCTGCTTCCCACGACACACTGCCTGGGAGAACCCACCTCCCACAAGCCTCCCACAGGTATCACATCGGGGCCTGAACATGCAAACGCCAGATCCCCAGCTGAGAGCAGGGGCAGCACAGGTAGCTGTGGCCTCAACATCCCTGCCAACCATCCACGGGCTTCCGGCCACACCGCCTTCTCCGCCCGGCGAGTGTGCGCTGGGAACAGGCTGAGTGCTGTGGACAGGCAGAGCTCTCCTCCCAGGACACAAGCCTCTTCTCATCTCCCACCTCCCTCAGGCTGTTGTCTCTGTGGGCGACCTTCCAGACAACAACAAGCTTTGACACCCCGGCTCAGCCCCGGGGGCTTGACCACAGCTGGAACTGGGCGGTGAGGGGGCGGCAGGGGGACAGGCACTGGCTGTTAAAGCTAGGCCCTGCCCCCTTCATACACACACACACACACACACACACACACACACACCCGCTGCCCCGCACTCCCCTCCCTGACCCCATCTCGGTGCTGGCCTCCCAGACAGCCAGGTTACCCTTCTCTGACTGAGCCCTGGCTGCCCGCTACCTGCAGGAGATACTGGCAGAGTAGGCACCTTCCCCGGGCAGCCCTAGGACCCTGGGCCCTGCCCAGAACCCCAGGGCAGGCAGCAGGTGCTGGGTGCTGGCTCCATGCTCCAGCTGGCCCAGCCCAACCTGTTCGAAGCACTGGAGACCTGAAGGGTTCTCATCTCTTCCCCTTTCTGCCTCTCTAGTAAACAAACAAACAAATAAACAGGAGGGGGAGGGAAGGCCTCTGCTGGCCAAAGGCAGGGCAGGGAGGTAGGGGTTGGGGGGCTCCATGCCTTCCAGGTAAGGACACAAGAGTGCTTTGCTCTGGAAACAGGTGGGCCCAGCCCTGATGGCGGGAGGGGACAGCTGACTGAGCTGCAGGCTGCAAAAACCCACCGCCCTCGCCTGCACAGCACATGTGGCCCCCTGGCCCTTGCCACAAGCTGGGGGAACCGAGGCACCACATGCCTTCCACACCCTGCAGCTGTGGAACTGGTCACAGCCCTCAGGGGCAACCCAGCCCAGCACCAGCCCCACACCCCACGTGAGCCTCCAGTAGCCATCACTCGGCTACCCATCCCCTCGGCCCCCAGTGGGTGCACCGGCCACGCTCGGTGCTCGGCGGGCCGCAAGGGACCACTCCCTGGCCAGCTCCTGGTCCAGGCCTGCCACGGACCCTGCCTACTTGCGGCCAGGTTTGGACTGAAAATCTAGGGACAGTGGCCCACTGGCCTCAGAGCAGCCGTGGCGTACCACGGGCCAGCACTGGAGGAAGGCTGGGCTGGGGCCAGGCACCCGAGGTGAGGGAACTTCAGGCCCACCTCTTGGGGACCACAAAACTGGGTCTGCCTGGGGGCTTGGAGCCCCCGCAGCTGAACGTCCTCTGGGCCCAGCCCCCCTGTGTCAACTCCCTGGGCAGCCTTGGCCTCTCTGGCATTTAACTCAATGCCCATCGCCCAGGCAGACTGGGGTAAGGAGAGTGCCCAGCGCGAGCACAGCCAGTACCAGGCCCCGACTCCCAGCAGGAGACCCGGCTGCGCCTTCCTTTCCTTCAGTATGCTTTGAACTCGGGGACCTCGGGTTAGGGTCTGGGCAGGGGCGCAGGGGCGCAGGGGCGCAGGGGCGCAGGGGCGCAGGGGCGCAGGGGCGCAGGGGCGCAGGGGCGCAGGGGCGCAGGGGCGCAGGGGCGCAGGGGCGCAGGGGCGCAGGGGCGCAGGGGCGCAGGGGCGCGCGCACACGGCCGCCCTGCGCGCCGCCAGCCGGGACGCCCCGCCCAGGCCGCCGAGTCCCCGCCTCGCGCACGCGGGCCGCGGCCACGTGACCAACCCCGGGGCAAACAAGCGGTCAGCTGACCCGGCCCGACTGCGCCGTCATCCCGGCTATAAGCGCGCCACCGGGTCGCCCCGCTGCCACCGCCGCCATGCAGAGCCCCGGCCTCCTGCTGCTCGCCCTCGGCCTGCTGGCCACCTCCACCACCGCGATCGTCAGGTGATGCCCGGGGCCCGGCTGGTGGGGCGCGCGCCGGCGTCCCCTTGCCCCCCGCCCGTGCGGGAGTGCACCTGTGCCGCCCGCCGGCTCTGTAGCCGCGGGGGTCGCCGGGGCCCTGGCAGAAGGCCTTTCCTTCCTGATTCCCTGGGGCCCATCCACCAGGGGAAGGCCCTGACCCGGGGCAGGCCAGGGGGGCAGGGAGGGAGCGAAGGAGGGGGACAGACAGACAGGTGTTAGAATTGGGCTGTTTCCACCAGGGAGTCCCCCCCGGGGCCCGGGGAGTCCCACAGGGGCCAAAGGAAGGCGGGGTCCGGGAATGGCCCAGGCAGCCCACCCTGGGGCAGGGGCTCCTGTCCCTGTGAGGGCCACCTCAGGCCCCAGCACCCGTCCCCTGTGAGGTAGGGTCTTAGGCCTGTTGCACTGCGCACACAGGTAGTTAAGCTCCCAGGTAGCTGGCTGGGCCGGCGAGGGGGCAGGGGGCTGGGTGGGAGCCAGCCTGCCTGAGCCTCCAGGCTGTAGCCTCCTTTGAGGCAGCCAGGGTCAAGAAGCAGGCACTGCCCGGGCCTGCCAGCCTGCCAGAGCCCTGCCTACCCCACCCACGGGCCTCCCCTCTCCCAGGAGGACAGAGGCTGCAGCAGACAAAGGCGCTGGGACTTCCGGCATGGCCTTGGGAATGTTCCGGGCCCCATGGGATTCCGGGCACCGGCTTCCTTGGTCCCTGGCCACACCCAGGACTGCCCGGCCTGCTCACCGTTGGGCAACAAAGCTGGCTCCTGGAGTGTGCCCTTGCTGTGCCAGGAATAGTCGGCTACGACCTTGTTCTCCACAGTAATTCAAAGCTGGAAGAGCTCTCCATGGGCTGGGCCCAGGCGGCGCAGCCCGCAGGACACCTGGCAGCCTGAGCCTGGCGCGTCCTCCCGTGCAGTGCTGGGGCCCATGGAGGGTGCTCGTGCCAGTGTGGGTGCCCTGGGGCAACACATGGAGGTCATGGGGCCCTCAGGGCAAGCAGGCCACAGTCAGGCTGAGGGGCCTGGGCTGACTAGAAAGTGGGGACCACCTTGCTAGCAGTGCGTGTTCAGGGAGGTGCGGCTGGACCCTGGGCACCGTAGCAGGCCGGGGAGGACTTGGAGCTGGGAGGCCAGCCTGATAGGCCCTGACACGCCCCAGGCTCCATCCTGGAGGAGCCCAGGGCAGGGGCAGCCGGAGAGCAGGGACTTGGAGACGGGGTGGCGGAGTGGGCCTGCGCCCCTGGGTTAGGGAGGGCCACCTCAGTGTCACGGAGCACGCTGGGCCTTTGCTGCCTGGCCCTGCAGGGTGCCTGCGGTGACAGGTGGCAGCCACAGCACAGGAGTCTGTTCTGATACGGACCTGTCTATCCCGGTAGGATTCCTTTATACAAGTTCACGTCCATCCGTCGGACCATGTCGGAGGCCTGGGGCCCTGTGGAGGATCTGGTGGCCCATGGCTCCGCGGAGGAGTCGTCATTTGCTCAGAACACCATCTCTAAGTACTCGCATGAGCCCTCCTCGGGGCACAAGGAGCCGGTCCCAGAGATGCTGAAAAACTACATGGATGTGAGCGTCGGCCGGGGCGGGGGGTGAGGGGAGGGGTGGCGGCACTGGGTCTGCACACCCAGCCCCCGCCGAGCAGCTGTGGCTGAGCCCCTGTCCGGTCCTTACGGCTGGCCGTCTAGTGTCCTGGAGGCTGCCCAAGCAGGCCTCCCAGCCCTGCGGCCTGCGACCCCCAGGGGGATGCTACAGGCAGCCCCCGTACCCCTTGCCATCTCTTCCATTATGCCTTCTGCTCCTTCAGGGAGCAGACAGGCTCAGAGTGGAACATTCTGGAAGCCACGTTAACAGCACGCTGGACCCGGTTGACCTGGCCAGGAGGGCTCTGAGCCACAATCTCCCTGGGTGTGGGATGTGTGGCCTGCATGCTGGGGGGGCGGGCTGTGCTCCCTGACCTGCTTGGCGCAAGGCCTGGCCGGGACAGGAAGCTCGAGACTCAACCATGTGACAGGTTGGGGGGAGCTGGGGGCCCTGCCGGCGGGCTCACGGTCCCCCCCGACAATGGAGCCTTGCTGAGTCACTGTCTCATGGTCATGAGTCAGCAAGGCTTCCCCCTGGGGGCAAGTGGCCCGACTGCCCCTGGCTGGCATGGGGTGAGGCATGATACCCTAGGCTGCATCCAGGACCCCCCTTGCGGGGGCTCCAAATAGGGGTTACCTCCCTGGCTGCCCCCACTCACCATGGGCACTGAAAGGGAAGCCAAGGCCAGATTTGGGGGCTGTCATCCGAGCTGGGTCCGAACCCCTCCCTGTCTTGGACGTGGCTGCAGGCCATGGCTGACCTTGGGCTTGTCTCTAGACATACTTGGCCCAGTCCCTCTGACTGTGTGACAGGCAGGAGGGGGCAGCAGTGGGAACCAGGCCCAAATGCTGTGCCTGTACTGCCAGGGAAGCCCCCTCCCAACCCAGCTCGGCCAGCGGGGTCAGCCGAGGGCCCCTGGTCCCAGCTGAGCTCTGAGCTGACAGCCGGTGTCTCCCAACCAGGCCCAGTACTACGGGGAGATCGGCATTGGCACGCCCCCCCAATGTTTCACCGTCGTCTTTGACACCGGCTCCTCCAACCTGTGGGTCCCCTCTGTTCACTGCAAGCTGTTGGACATCGCCTGCTGTGAGTGTCACCTGGCTGCAGTGCACCTGCTCAGCCGCCGCCTGGCCCCTCTGCAGGGCGCACGTCTGGGTGTGACTCCCTGCAGGCGGCCGGCTGACAGCCCCTGCCTTGCTCTGACCCCTAGGGATGCACCATAAGTACAACAGCAAGAAGTCCAGCACCTACGTGAAGAATGGTACCTCGTTTGACATCCACTATGGCTCGGGCAGCCTCTCCGGGTACCTAAGCCAGGACACTGTGTCGGTCAGTCCTGCTTGGGCCACTCCCAGGGCAGGGGCTGTGTGGGGAGGGGGCGGGGGTCCTTCCTACATGCGTGTGCAAGGCCGGATGGCCCGTGGCCTCCAGGAGCCTGCCCAGCACACAGTCTGAGCCAAGGCTCCGGGGTAGGGGAGAGGTGGCAGCAGGTCTGGAGGGATGGCCAGGTTCCCTGGGGTGGGAGGGATGCAGGGGCAGGGGAGGAGGGCTGTGGTGAGCAAGAGGGGCAGGCCGACTGGAAGCAGAGCTGGGAGGGAAATTGCGACACCCCCCACCCCGGGTGGTGACACAGGTGCAAGCAGGCTGGGCGGGGCCGTGACCAGCTGAGGTGAGTGGGAGGGTGGGAGGGCGCCTGAACGGGTCGGTCAGGGTTCCTGCGGCTTGCCGGGACGGGAAGGTGTGAGATGTGCGGTCCTCCCCCAGGGCAGGGCCAGTGCCTGTCTCCTGTGCGGACCTCGAGCAGAGGGAAGCCCCCGCCCCAGCAGTGTCGTGTGGTTTAGGGCAGAGGGGTGTGCAGGACTCAGCTGTGGGGCCCGGGGCCTGTGCCAGCTGCCGTGGAGCTGGTAGGGACCAGGGCTGGGACTGCCTTCCCAGCCCGGCTGTGCTGGTGGGATTGTGAGGTTCTACCTTGTTGCTTTGCCCCAACAGGATGTTGGCCTCCCATCCCCCTCTCTCCCCACATCCTGCCCGCTTGTGTCTGCAGCCTCAGCCTGGGGCTGGAGGAGGAGCTGAAGTGGCCCTGGCTGTCTCAGTGCCCCAGGCTCAGCGTCTTGTTCCTGAGCCGCAGGGCCTGGCACACAGAGAGGGTGGCAGGTGGCCAGCCTCTGTCCTGGCTTCCAGCTCTAAGTTCTGTGGCACACCCACATCCCATGCCCTGCTTTGTCCATCTCGCCATCCCGTGGAGGCTGAGCCAGTGTCCCTCGAGCTGGGGCGCATGGTCATGGCTGCGTGCAGCTGGGGTCGGGTGTGGGGCTCAGGCGACCAGATATGCCCACTGACCTCTGCCCTCCCGGCCACAGGTGCCCTGCTCGGCATCCAGCGGCATCCAGGTGGAGAGGCAGATCTTTGGGGAGGCCACCAAGCAGCCGGGCGTCACATTCATTGCGGCCAAGTTCGACGGGATCCTGGGCATGGCGTACCCCCGCATCTCGGTCAACAACGTGCTGCCCGTCTTCGACAACCTCATGCAGCAGAAGCTGGTGGAGAAGAATGTCTTCTCGTTCTACTTGAACAGGTGCGCTGGCCGCAGGGCCTTCTCTGCCTCGGACCTTGTGGCGTCCTGGGGACGGGACTGGCTGCACTTTGCTGAGAAGGCCAGTGTCTTGGCTGCTGCTGCAACACAGGGAGGCCAAGCCTGCGGTGACCTGAAGTGAAGGGACCTTAGAGGGAGACCTGTGCCTCCATTGCCTCTTACCAGGCTAGGGGGCGGGTCTTAAAGAGCTGGGGCCACCTGCTGGGCTCAGCCTCCAGCCCTTTGCCACTCCTGGCGGCTGGCCGCTGCCTGCTTGGGTCCCACTCAAGGCTCCGGGCCTGACTGCTCACTGGGGCCACTGCTGCTGGAATAGCAGCCCCAAACCCTGCTGGCAACACTCCTCCCCCTCCCGGACCTGCCCTTGGCTGTGGGGCATGGGACCCTGACAGCTGAGTTCGTGTCCGGGAAGCCAGGGCTCCAGGAATGCGCAGGCCCACGGGCATGAGGGCCTGCTGGGGGAAGCTGGCTGGCTGTTCTTCCTGGTCAGTCCTCCCACGCCTGGAGAGGTGTGCTGGTAACCTCTGGCTTCACCCTGCCCACAGGAACCCAACTGCCCAGCCTGGGGGCGAGCTTATGCTGGGCGGCGTGGACACCAAGTACTACCAGGGCCAACTGTCCTACCTGAACGTGACCCGCAAGGCCTACTGGCAGGTGCACATGGACCAGTGAGTGCTGGGCACACCCAGGCTCGGGGGGCAGGAAGGCTGAGCCCATGCAAACGAGCTCACCCACGCTCCCTGCAGGCTGCTGGTAGGCAACGGGCTGACCCTGTGCGAAGGGGGCTGTGAGGCCATCGTAGATACCGGCACGTCCCTGCTGGTGGGTCCTGTGGATGAGGTACGGGAGCTGCAGAGGGCCATCGGGGCAATACCACTCATCCAGGGCGAGGTGAGTCCCAGGGGCAGAGTGGAGAGGGGAGAGGGGGCGTGGTGGGATGTGGCAGGGTGGGGTGGAGAGGGGCGTGGCAGGGTGGGGTGGAGAGGGGCGTGGCAGGGTGGGGTGGAGAGGGGCGTGGCAGGGGTGGAGAGGGGCGTGGTGGGATGGAGAGGGGCATGGCAGGGTGGGATGGAGAGGGGCATGGCAGGGTGGGGTGGAGAGGGGCGTGGCAGGGTGGGGTGGAGAGGGGCGTGGCAGGGCAGGGGTGGAGAGGGGCGTGGCAGGGGTGGAGAGGAGAGGGGCGTGGCAGGGGTGGAGAGGGGCGTGGCAGGGTGGGATGGAGAGGGGCATGGCGTGGTGGGATGGAGAGGGGCATGGCAGGGTGGGATGGAGAGGGGCATGGCAGGGTGGGATGGAGAGGGGCATGGCAGGGGTGGAGAGGGGCGTGGCAGGGTGGGGTGGAGAGGGGCGTGGCAGGGTGGGGTGGAGAGGGGCGTGGTGGGCGGGCTCCGGCTGATCCTCCCCTCCCCCCCTACTAGTACATGATCCCCTGTGAGAAGGTGTCCAGCCTGCCCCCGGTCACCGTGAAGCTGGGAGGCAGAGATTACACCCTGTCTGCTGAAGACTACACACTCAAGGTGGGCCCCACGTGACCCCAATGCGACCCCAGTCTGATCCCCCATGACCCTGGCGTGACCTCCCTGTGACCCCCGTGGCCCTACAGGTGTCCCAGGGCGGCAAGACCATCTGCCTGAGCGGGTTCATGGGCATGGACATACCCCCGCCCGCCGGGCCCCTCTGGATCCTCGGCGACGTGTTTATCGGCCGCTACTACACCGTGTTCGACCGCGACAACAACAGGGTGGGCTTCGCCGAGGCCGCCAAGCACTAGATGGCCAGCGCCGCGGCCAGCAGAGATGCAACAGACTCGGGGCAGGGGGCAGGAGTGGCCAGACCTCAGGCCTCCCAGCCCCTCCTCCGCTCAACCACACACTCATGCTCACTCACACACTCACACTCACCCGCCCATAGCCTGAGCTGGGCCTGTGGCTGCCGTCTCGGAAGGGCTGGGGCAGGCGTGGGCCTGGCCTACCCACAGTGAGGGGTTTGTGCCTCATGCCGCCCAACTGGCCCTGAGAACCTGCCCTTCCTGCTAGTTCTCTGCCCAACCTTGAGCTGGCACCCGTGCCCGCTGTCTCATCTCTTCCTGTGTCCTGAGGGACGCCAGCTGTTTGAGGCCCGCTGATAAGTAGGAAGGAGCTGGAGGGAGGGAGAGGTGGACAGTGGGACTGTCCTGGGGCCACGCATTGTCGGGGGACAGGATGGTCCGAGGCCGTGAGAATACACTTTGGGCCTCTAAGCTGTGTCTGTGTGTTTTGCTGGGAGAGGGTCCAGGGAGGAGCTGGGAGCCGACCCTGTGCCAGGCTCTGCCCTGGGGTCAGGGGGCACACTGCCTGAAAGACCCTGCCCAGCAGCCAGGGCTGGCTTCTGCCCAGAGCAGTGCCCTGGTTGCTGGGCCCCTGCCTTCACTGCCCACCCGTCTGGTTGGTTGGCTGGACGGGGGCAGGCTGCGCCCTCATTGACCTGAGTGGCCTGGTGCTTGCCACAGCCTGGCTGGCCCAGAGCTGAGCCGGTGGGGTCACTGGCTGGCAGGAGCCAGGAGTGACCGAGTTTGGAAGGGTCAGCAGGAGCTTGTGAGCACCGGAAGCCGAGCCAGGATCCCTTGGGTCAGGCCAGAAAGGCCCAACCCCGCAGGACAGACTGTCCTGAACCTGCCGGGGGGCCCAGGGTGCAGGGCAGGGCCCCCGGGAGGACATAGGCACTCCTGCCCTGGGCTGCCTGAGGAGGCCTCCATGGCTCAGGGCAGGGGTCCAAGGGCTGGCAGAGATGCGGAGGCAGCCCCAGAGCATGTGGGACAAGGGAAGGCCAGCCTCTACCCTCCCCTGGCACGGTGACCTGGTGACCTCCAAGCAGGCTGGGGCATACCTACCAAACCCTGGGCAGACCAGGCCCCCTACCCGGGGTGGAGCGGGGAGAATGGGGTGACACGGCTCCAAGTGAGGAAGGCAGCTTTGGTTGGACCTGACCCCAGGTTTCCAGTCTGGGTTCCTCCATGCCAGGTCTTGAGTGCAAGGAGCACTGAGTCTCCCCTCTCCCCATCATGGCCCAAGGAGCCTTGGCTTGGCGAGGTGGCCAGGGTGCCCAGGAGAGGGCTGGGGAGCTGTCTGCTGGGACTTGCTCCCGCTTGCCCAGGATTATCCACATCTGAGGGTTCCTGACCTGTATAGGTCCGTGCTGTGCCAGGACCCGTGGGGGTGGGGAGGGGAGGGGCTTGAGGAGGAGGCGGGGTCTGTCCTGGGAAAGGGGTTCCCAGAAGGGCTGGGGGCTGCTGGGGAGAGGAGGTGGTTCTGGGGGACCGAGGACGGCCTGCTGAGTTAGGGAGAGGTCCCCCAGCGGACCCCGGGATGTGGGAAGAGGAGGAGAGTGTGGGAGACATAGGGGGACGGCAGGGACCTTACAAGAGAAAGGGCAGAGTGGGGGCCAGAGCCTGGGCAGGACAAGACACGGAGCAGGGGGTGCCTGGAGAGCCACTGGGGGAAGGGACAGGCTGCTGTCACGGGGTCAGGCATCCTAGGGCAGGGGAGGGGGGCGAGAATCCCACAGTCCCAGAGGCAGGTCAGGGGCTGGGGAGAGGAAGCTATCGGGGTGAGTGGGTAGAGCTCAGAGGGACAGGTGGATGTCCCCGCCCGTTCCCGTGTGCTGGGTTGGGACAGCAAGCCCCCGAGGCAGAGGGGACCTTGCAGGGACACCTGTACGGTGGCTGGCAGCTGACCAGTGAGAGCAGGGGCTTGTTCTGGTCTGTGTGGGTAGAGACGCAGGGCCGCCAGGAGCTGGCAGCAGCAGGGTCCTCAGGAAAGGAGAAACTTTACTTATTAGAGTTTGGGGCTGTCAGGGCCAGAGACGCAGAGGGACACAGGGTGGGGACAGGAAGGAGCACAGAAAGGGGCTGGGCAAGCTGGAGGACAAGCTGGTGACCTCGCAGGCTCCCTTAGTAATGCCTGGGTCTTCCTGGACAGGTGCAAGGACTGGGTGCCGGGGAGTGGGGCTGAGGAGGGGATGCGGAGGAGACACTTGGAGAAAAGGGCAAGGCCCTGGGGGTGGGGGTGGCGGTGTAGAAGGCAGCAGGGAGCCAGGAGTGGGCGCCAGGGTAGGGGATCAGACCAGCGATGGGGTTCTCTGGGGGACTTAGAGCGAGGGCCGGAGGCGGGGGGCGCCGGCACCACGGGGTAGCCGCGCCGCTGTCCACTCTGCGACTTCTCGGGGTGGTGCTTCCGGCCGGCCGGGCCCCCACCCTGCGGCGGGGGAGGCGGAGGAGCCTGCGCCGAGGCCGCCGTGAGTCAGGCGCAGGCTGCGGCCGCCCGCCCGGCGCTGCGGAGGGACGCGGGAGCGGGGGAGGTAGCGGCGCCGCCGAGCCCCGCGCGTTCCCTACCCGCAAGGTTCGGCCGCGGGGCGCGGATCGGCGGTGGACAGAGCGCGGAGCGGCGCACGGGACGGTGCAAGGACGCACGCGCCGAGCACTGGGGTCCGCCGCCCCAGGAGTCATCAGCAGGTGAGGACCTGCTGTCCCGCGGCTGCCTCAGAGCCAGGCCGGGCGCAGAGCCACTGAGCCCCGGCCCCAGGCCCCGCGCCCCGCTCGGGCTCCAGGCTCCAGAGTGGCGCAGGGCGCGAGCACCACGGTACCTCGGTACCTCGCTGGAGAAGCGCTCCTCCCGCAGAGTGTGGCCCCGGGGGGTGGGATGGGTGGCTCTGCGCGACTGAGCACTTCTGGGGTCCCACAACGCTTTCGGTGGGGGATGGCGGGGTGCGATGCGCGCCAGGCTGTGTTCCCCACCCCCTCCAGCCATGGCGTCCCAGCTTTAGTGGCCATGGGGACTCTCAGGGTCTGCGCCCCAGTGTCCGCGGTGAGCGCGCGCAGGTGCCTCTTGGAGCTTAGCTAGGGGGCCAGTTCCTGTTTAAGGCGGCCTCCATAGGGGGTCGGCCTCCCAGACCTTTGGGGATGGGGGTGAGGAGAGTCTGGATTTGTGGCAACAGTGTGGGACCAGTGTTGCCGGGGCACTGCGGGCCAGGGAGGCTGCTGTTGTGTCTGCCAGGGAGGGAGTGTTTGTGCGCAGATGGCGAAGTGATGAAAAGTCTCCGTGTGTTTGCCAAGGCTGCCGCGGAAGGCCCTGGCACTGGCAGTGGCCGCTGGTGGCTGGGGTGGTGGGGGAGGCAGGTGGCAGGCTGGCAGCTGGCGCTCCCTTGGCAGGGATGGCCCGCCAGTCTGGGGGCTGTCCATGGGACAGTGCAGGAGATGCTGTTGGGGAGGGGGTGCCAAGGTCCTGCCTGTCCTCACTGTCACCCTCCCTGCAGGCCCAGGGCCCCAGCCAGTGCCCAGCCCCGCTGGGAGCCCCGGCCAGCACCACGGACGGCGCCCAGGAAGCCCGAGTGCCCCTGGACGGGGCCTTCTGGCTCCCGCGGCCCCCGGCAGGTTCCCCCAAGGGCTGCTTCGCCTGCGTGTCCAAGCCCCCCGCGCTGCAGGCTCCTGCAGCCTCCGGCCCCGAGCCCTCAGCCTCGCCCCCCATGGCACCCACCCTGTTCCCCATGGAGTCCAAGTGCAGCAAGACGGACAGCGTGCGGACGGCTGGCGCGCCCCCCGCCTGCAAGCACTCAGCCGAGAAGAAGACCATGACCAATCCCACGACGGTGATCGAGGTCTACCCGGACACCAGCGAGGTCAACGACTACTACCTGTGGTCCATCTTCAACTTCGTCTACCTCAACTTCTGCTGCCTCGGCTTCATCGCCCTGGCCTACTCCCTCAAAGTGAGCCCCGGGGCTGGGCCAGGGTGGGCGCCGGGGCAGCCCGCAGCTGCTCCGCTGGTGGGGAGGTACTCCTGGCTGTTTCTGGCCGTGGAGGCATGGGGCAGTGATCTGAGGTGGGACCTGCCCAGCAGCTATCCCCGGGCATCTGGGGTCAGAGCTGAGGTGGGCACGAGGGGCTGCTGTGGAGGGAGGGGTGAGCTGAGACGCCTCTGCCAACCTCCTCCAGGCCCTGGCTGGTGAACCCCGGGGCAGCGGCCTGGGCATTCCAGTCCGGCACTCAGTGGGAGGTCATTCCCCGACGACCGGGGCTGCCTGCACCAAGGGTGGCAGGACATCTGTCCTGAGAGGGGATGGTTGGGGCAGGGCTGAGCACAGGTGACCCTGACCCCAGCCTTCCCATTGAGGGAGGAGCCGCCCGGGCAGTGGGCACGGCTAGTGTGGGGGAAGGGGACAGGGGAGCTCTGGTCCTCCCCTCAGCCCTGTGCCAGCCTCCGTCGCCACTCCGGAAGCAAGACTTGGCTCATGTTTAGTCAGGTCATCAGTTCCTCTGAGGCCGCACCGGGTCAGCCAAGGCCAAACGCATTCCTGCGTGGCAGCTGCTCAGCCAGGCGGGGGCTTCACGGAGGGAAGGGGGCCGCTGAGGCCACCCCGGGAGGAAGGTTGGGGGCCTGCGATGCCTCGGACCTATCTCTGCGCGTCCACCGTGCCCCGCATCATCACATGCCCGGACAGCTGGCACTCCTGCCATCCTCTTGAACCATAGTCAGCAGCAGACTCTGCTGTGAGAATCCAGTGTGCCCGTGTGTGCGAGTGTATTCACGGCTGTGTGTGTTGTGTTGCACGTGTCACAGCTCATATATGGGCATGAGTGTGCACATGTGTGAGGCGTGTGAGCATGGGCCACCAGGGCCATTGTATATTCCTTCAGTGTGCACACATGTGTGTTCATGTGTGTGCCATGGCAGCGACACAGGCAGGGTCCTCAGCGCTGGGGCGGCAGGGCCACCCGTGCAGTGGCCTGCAGGCGTGGCTGGCTGCCTGGGCTCCTGTCCGGAAGCCGTCCCTCCTCCCGCTGGCTCAGGCTGTGGCTGGCCGGCCCATCTGCTGTGGGTTGTAGGTAGGTCAGGCCAGAAAGGTGCTAGGTCTGGGCTGGGACAGAGAGCTGGCGGGGATGGGGGTCCTATCTGTCTTTGTCCTGCTGTCCAGGGGTGGGGGAAGCCCAGGAGAGACTCGAGGTGGGGGTAAAGGGGGTCTGTCTGAGGGGGTTGTGCCATACAGAGGGGCAGAGCTGCCAGCCCAGCCCCTTGCACCTAGGAGCCCATCCCCCAACGCTTGCCACTGCCAGCAGTGGACACCTCCCAGGGGAACGGGTGGACCTGGGGCGGGGGTCCTGGCTGATGGCCGTGCTATCTTGCTGAGCGCCCCCTTGCATGTTCACCAGCAGAGTCCGTACATGCGCGGGTGGCTGTGGGGTGGAAGGCCAGGCTGTGCCCTCGCGGGCCCTGGGCAGGGAGCTGGCTGTGGGACGCTGAGGCTGCAGGCTCTTTTTTCTCAGCCCCATCTCTGGGGAAGGAACACAAAAAGTCAATTCTCCATTCACGCCGGCGCCTGGACGCCAGCCAGGCTCCTTGGCCTGGCATTCGGTGGCCCTCAACACCTCCAGGCCTCCCTGAACACCCCCTGCACTGGCAGATCGGTGGGCAGGGGCTGGGAGTGCCGTGCTCACGTAGGTCTGTCCTTGCTTCTCCTTGGCCTGCGGGTGCTGGTGTGAAATTGGGGCTCCAGGCATGTCTCCCTGTGCACCCGCAACACACATACCCAGCCCAGACCTCCGCCTTGGGGTCTGCAGCCCCTGCTTCATCAGCTTCTCTGTGACACGTGGAGGGCCTGCCTGGGAAGACTCAGAGGGCAGGGGGCCGCAGGGGCTGCCAGGCCTTGGGTCTCAGATGAGGGGTGGGAGGAGTGATTCAGGAAGCAGGAAGATGCAGGCTGGGCCCAAAGGGGCCGCTGTAACCAGCCCTCCCTGAAAACCTTCCAGCTGTGCACCCAGGCCTGCCTCGTGGGCTGCACCTCTGGCTCAAGCCTGCACCCAACGGGGGCTGCTGACTACCGCTCTAGGAATGCAAGCCCTGCAATGTTGGGCACGTGATGGGTGTGTGAAGGCCGCGTGCCCAGAGGGAGGGCCTCCCTGCAACCAGGGAGACGGGGAGCAGGCCTCCCACGCAGCCCCAGGGGTGCCTCAAGGCCTCTGCCCTCTTGGGTGGCCCAGCAGTCATGGACAGGAAGGCCGTGGCCAGCCGGGAAGAGGGCAGAGGCAGTGAGAGAGGGCCCAGCAGGGAGGGTCTGGGGGAGACTTGTGGCCTGAACCAGGGTGGGCCTGAGCAAGACCTTGGACTGAGAGGGCCCAGTGGTGAGGGTATGAGAGCCAGGGGTGGACAGAAAGAATACTCTTCCTTGCTGAATGTCAGCCTTTCCCACCTACCCATGAACCTTCTCACCCACCCACCCATCCACCTTCTCACCCACCCACCCATCCACCTTCTCACCCACCCACCCATCCACCTTCTCACCCATCCACCCACCCACCTTCTCACCCATCCACCCACCCACCTTCTCACCCACCCACCCACCTTCTCACCCACCCACCCACCTTCTCACCCACCCATCCACCTTCTCACCCACCCACCCACCCACCTTCTCACCCACCCACCCATCCATCCCACCTTCTCACCCACCCATCCACCTTCTCACCCACCCACCCACTCACCCACTCACCCACCCACCCACCTTCTCACCCACCTACCCACCTTCTCACCCACTCACCCACCCATCCACCCTCTCACCTACCCACCCACCTTCTCACCCACCCACTCACCCACTTACCCACCCATCCATCCACCCACCTTCTCACTCACCCACTCATCCTTTTACCTACCCACCCACCCTCTAACCCATTCATCCACCCACGCACCCATCTGTCCACCCTCTAACCCAGCTATCCATTCACCCATCCATTCACCCTCCAACCCACCCACCTACCCCTCCACCCTACAAACCCACCCACCCATCCACTCATTCAACTGTTCACACCATTCATCCATCCTGCACCTGCTTACTTACGCACCCATCCACTCACTCTTAAATCCCAGTCCATCCTCCTTCGCGTCCGTCAGCCCATCCAGAAACCCACGCAGCCTTCCACCCGTCTGGTCTGCTGCTCGCCCATCTCTCCACCGCACTCAGGTTCCGATCTCCGCTGTCTGTCTCTCCTTAGGGTCCCAGTGACTTCCTGCTGTGGCTCCCAGCCCTGCAAGTCTATGCGCTCAGTGGGGACGTCCTGACCCAGCGCCTCTGACCCTGGGCTTGCTCCCTGTCCCTTCCCACCTGCGTTCAGTGCCCGTTGAGTGTGTCTACATGCTCATCTGGGCTCATTGCCACAGCTTGCAGCCCCCGACCACCAGTGCGGCCGCTCTGCTGTCCTCGTTCCTTCTCACCGTCTGTCCCTCTGACTCTCCGTGCGCCCATTTCTCTGGATTCGTGTTTGTCCTTTCCCTCAGTGACACGCTAATTTACCGTCTGTCCATTTGTGGGTTGCATTTAGCTACTTGTCTCGGGATTCACCCGCTTACCTCTTCTTTCGTCACAAATCCATCTGCAGATCCAACTCCTCCTGAACGCCTGAGCTGCTTCCCTCCCCAAAAGGCTGTGCCAGTCGTGGCCGGGCCAGGCTGCAGCTGGGAGCTTCCTCTGGGTCTCCACGTGGGTACAGGGGCCCAAGCATGGGGTCATCTGATGCTTTCCCAGGCCCAAGTAGAGCAGCTGGGACTCCAACCGGCACCCATAGGGATGTTGGCACCATAGGCGGCCCCTTTACACTAACCCACAGTACCAGCCACTCTCTTTGGCTTCTTACATTGTCCCTGTCTTCCATCAAAATACCAAATTTCTCACCCCTATCCACCAGGTCCCCCCCAGGGATGCGCGCCTTCCCCGCTCCTGCCTTCTCCTTGTGCGCCTGCCCGTCCTCAGGGCCTTCCACACTGAGGGCCTGTGCATCCAGCTGACCTCTGCTTCCTCGGTGCCCCACAGGATCACAGCCCAACAGTTTGTGGTGGCTGTGGCCAGGCATGTGCCCGAGTCCTGTCCGTGGTATTTAGTGGCTTAGGGACCTTCAGCAGGCAGCCACCTAGGTGTGTGCTCCATTCCCTGCTGTACATGTGGGGCAGCTGGCTCAGAAAAGCCTTCCTCCTCCTCCTCGCCCCCTGCCCTCCGCCCCTGTCCTGGCCTGTGTGCTGACGCCCGTCCACTAACGCCCATGTCCAGGGGCTGCCCACAGCCAGCGTTTGGCCTGCCTTGCCCTCTTGTGTTGCTCTCCCCTTCCCAGGAGTGCTTACTGGCCCTTCTTCCTCACTCAGCCGTGCCCGTCCCAGTCCCGTCTGCTGCTTGGCTGTGATGGTTAAGGCTTGCCTGTGTCGCTTCCTGCCCTGCTCAGCCTCCGCTCCAGTCAGAGCTGCATCTAGCTCACTCCCCGCTTTCTCCTTCAGCCCGGCCACCTAGCTGTGTCCCTCACCTGTCCACAGATTTAAACTTCCCACTGTCCACCCCCTCACACATGCCAGCGCCCGGTGAGTGCCACGCAGGCCTCAGCCACAGGGAGCCACGTGCTGCCAAGGCTCGCTCACACACGCCAGGCCTCCGCCCTGCGGGCACCTTAGCTCTGCTGTCCACCCACGTGGCCGGGAACCCACTGGCTCCCACCGCCGTGGCTGCTGCTGCCCCGGCCCTGACCACATGGTGCCTGGCCAGGTCAGCAGAGAGCAGTCGCTGAGCAGGTAAGCCATGGCTGAGCGCAGGGGACCCAGCGTGTCCACCTCCACCCACCATCCGCTGGTCCATGCAGCCACGTCCTGTCCCGTGAGTCCAGCCACAGTTCATCTTGGTGCCCTCCGCCCGCTCTACTCTGGTCTCCGTCGTGCTGACCGCTCAGCCCTTGGGCATGGCATGGACATTCTGTGCCTGTTCCCTCCCCAGCTCTCCCCCCACTCTGCTCCTCATCTGCTCTGACTGCCCTGGCGTTCACCCTGAACAGGAGCGGCCTCTGGCAGCTGGGCCGGGCCCTGACCACCGACCGACGTGATGCTGGGCTCGAGCCCCTCCCTGCGTGGTCATGTCCCTTCCTGAAGGTCCCGGGTCCCACTCACTACCTGTCTTCCCAGGGCCTCCCAAGTGAGGCCCACGACATCAGAACACAGTCTGTCACACTGAATCATGGCAGACTCAGCGTCCCTCCACCCAGACACCCACCCGGGCAGCGTCCTCCCCAGGGATCACCGTTGCCTGTTTCACAGCCACTAGGCCACATGATGACCCTGGGCGGGGCTGCTGTGTGGCTGTACCATCTGTGTGTCCAGATATGGCATGTGGGACTTTACGGATTACGGAGATTACGGAGTGATTTGAAAGGCAGAATTATCAAGAGAAGGAGAGCAAGGCCTGCCATCGGCTGTGTCACTCCCCAAGTGGCTGCAACGGCCAGAGCTGAGCTGAGCTGATACCAGCGGCTTCTTCCGGGTTTCCCATGCAGGTGCAGGGTGCACACACTTGGCTCGCCTTCTCCCGCTCTCCCAGGCCATCAGCAGGGAGCTAGGTCCCGGGCCGGTGCCCACAGCTGTGCGGGCCTTGGCTGCTGTGCGGGCCTTGGCTGCTGTGGTTTGCAGCTGTCACAGTTGAGTACTCACTTCTCTAACATTCCACCAAGTCAACCTTTGTGTTCCAGAGGGGACCCGTGCTCAAAGGAGGGACTGGGTTGCCATGGAGGCACAGGCCAGGACCAGGCCCCGGGGTCTCCTGTGCTGACGCCCATCTCCTCCCCTGCCCGCCCTCCTGGCCACAGGTCCGGGACAAGAAGCTTCTCAATGACCTGAACGGTGCGGTGGAGGACGCCAAGACAGCCAGACTGTTCAACATCACCAGCTCGGCCCTGGCTGCCTCCTGCATCCTCTTGGTCTTCATTTTCCTGCGGTATCCTCTCTCTGACTACTGAGCGCCCAGCGCGTGGGAGGCCCAACACACCTGCTCGTGTCCATGCCGGGTCATGCCAGGGGTCGTGCTTCCGCCCTTGGGGCCTGGGGGGCCTGGAGGGAGCCGGCCCACCACTCCTGCCTCCTGCCTCTGCCCTTGTATGTGTGCGTGTGCAGGCCCTGGCTGCCCCTGTACTGTGCACCCTGACTTCCGGCGGCTGCCCCCCTCATACACCCGCCCCACGTTCCAGCAGTCCCCACCCCCGCTGATAACCAGCAAGAAGGGCTTTTGTGGGAGGGAGTTCCCGGGACAAGGGCAGGGGCTGCCAGCCTGGGGACCCCTCCGTCTCCCCTGACGCCTGCCACCTCCAAGCTGTGACCCTGCTCTGTACCTGTGGACTCAATAAACCCCTCCCTGCTACAGCCCAGCCTCCGTCCACTCCCCGCCGCAGGAGGGGGTGTGACCCTTCAGGAGCCTCCTTGCTGGGGGCCTGGAAGCACCTGCCACCTGCCTGTCTCTGTGAGGTGGATGCACGAAGGTCCTGAGTAGGACTCCCTATAGGTGTCGCTTTGGGCCAGTCTCTGAAGACAGAAAGGCCTAAATGGGGACCCGACCCAGCTCCAGAGGATCCTGGCTGGGAGAGTGGCTGCTAAGGGTTCAGCTGCCTGGGACACCCCAGGGAGCTGTGTGGGACAGTTGGGTGGGCACAGGCCTATGTCCCACCACACGACAGACAGATCACCTGCAGCCTGGGGGAGGCTCAGGAGACCAGGTGCCTCTGGAAGGGAGGCCCCAAGCTTGGTGCAGGGGTTCAGGGCAAGACGTTGGACACAACAGAGTAAGGACAGGGTCACAAGCACAAATGGGATGGGGAAGGGTCACAGATCAGAGAAGACAAATGGGGGTCAGGAGCAGGTCGAGGATCAGAGGAATGACCCAGTAGGCTTGGGAGAGAGTCAAGGGTCATAGGGAACGCAATGGGGTCAGGACAAGGTCACCGGATCAAGGGGAATGTAGTGGGATGGGGTCAGGATCACAGATCCTGGGGATGACGGAGTGGGATGAGGGACAGGATCACAGATCCTGGGGATGACGGAGTGGGATGAGGGACAGGATCACAGATCCTGGGGATGACGGAGTGGGATGAGGGAGAGGATCACAGATCCTGGGGATGACGGAGTGGGATGAGGGAGAAGATCACAGATCCTGGGGATGACGGAGTGGGATGAGGACAGGATCACAGATCCTGGGGGTGACGGAGTGGGATGAGGGGACAGGATCACAGATCCTGGGGATGACGGAGTGGGATGAGGGGACAGGATCACAGATCCTGGGGATGACGGAGTGGGACGAGGGAGAGGATCACAGATCCTGGGGATGACGGAGTGGGATGAGGGAGAGGATCACAGATCCTGGGGATGACGGAGTGGGATGAGGGAGAAGATCACAGATCCTGGGGATGACGGAGTGGGATGAGGGGACAGGATCACAGATCCTGGGGATGACGGAGTGGGATGAGGGGACAGGATCACAGATCCTGGGGATGACGGAGTGGGATGAGGGGACAGGATCACAGATCCTGGGGATGACGGAGTGGGATGAGGGAGAGGATCACAGATCCTGGGGATGACGGAGTGGGATGAGGGACAGGATCACAGATCCTGGGGATGACGGAGTGGGATGAGGGTCAGGATCACAGATCCTGGGGATGACGGAGTGGGATGAGGGAGAAGATCACAGATCCTGGGGATGACGGAGTGGGAAGAGGGTCAGGATCACAGATCCTGGGGATGACGGAGTGGGATGAGGGAGAGGATCACGGATCCTGGGGATGACGGAGTGGGATGAGGGTCAGGATCACAGATCCTGGGGTAGGACCTCAGGTCACAGGAGATGTAGTGAGAATGAGGTCATGAAATCCAGTGTGGTCATAGGTCACAGGAGGTACCGTGGGGTTGGAACGGGATCCTAGGGGACACAGTGCACAGGGTGTTCATCCACCCGGAGCCAGGAGTGCAGGCAGGGAGGGTCGGCAGGGCCTGCCGCCTGAGTGTGTGCTCAGGGGCAGGAATGGAGGGGAACACAGGGGCTTGGGGGTCAGGAGAGGGGGCCATGGGTGCTGACCGCTTAATGCAGGCAGTGGCAGGCGAGGGTGGGATGTAGCTGTTGGAGCTGTGGCAGTGTCACCTCTTGGAGCTGGTGTCTCTTAGAGACGGATCCCTCTGCCACACACACACACACAGAATGAGAGGGTGTGCGTCCACTCCCAGGCTCCCTCCCCACGTGTCCACCACAGCAGGCTGGACCAGGCTGCAGCCAGGAGCTGCAGATTCCTTGCAGGCCTCCCATGAGAGAGCCAGCACCCACAGGCCCACTCCCTGGGACGTGGGGCGGGAGACCCACAGGGTGGGGTCTCCTGGACCCCAACAAGCCGCAGTGGACAGTGGACGTCGAAGGGAAGGAGTCTCGGTGGGAGTGCCTCTCTCTGCCCACTTGCCTGGTGCTGTCCGGGGTCAGTCCCCCGGCCACGTGGGGCCTCAGACCGGCTTTGGCTTGTGCACCCCTGAAGGCTGGGGAGGCTGGCCACCATGGCTGCTGGTCCTGGGGATGGACAGGTCTGTCCTTAGTGGCCCCTGAGTGTCTGATGGGGCCCGCACCACCTGCAGTGCTGGGCACGCTGTTGCCAGCTTCTGCCCAGAGGCCACAGGTGTGCTGGGCAGGGGTGCGGGTCACCACAGGATGCAGCCATGTTGGGGACAGCCACATGAGGCTGCGGGAACCTCACGGTGGTGAGAGCAGTCAGTCCCAAGTGGGACTGGAGTCCTGAGCCAGTGCCGTCTGGGGAGGGTGCACGCCCTCTCCGCCAAGGGGAGTCTTGGAGCTGCAGGCCCACTCTGATGATATAGTTGGATTTCTCCTGCTGGGACTGGAAACTGACGCCAGGGATCAACGGAGAAGAAAACCACATTTCTTCATAACCAGAGCCCATGGGAAACCCCAAGGCCCAGGCTGGAGCCGCCCACCTGCTAGGGACATCCTGTCCGTCAGGGCAGCCCTCGTGGGTGGGGTCCCACAGAGTCACCCTGGGCTCCAGACAAGGCCTCCCCCAGCCCACTCTGTTAAGCCTCAGCAGCTGCTTGCCCACTCCCTCCCCCAGGTGTGTCTGTCGCCTTCCTGGAAATGGCTCTTGCCGCAGGTGCCCATGCCGTGTGCCCAGTAGGCTCAGGTGTCCAGACGGGGGAGTGGCTTCGGCTTTGTCCCTGTTGGAGCGTCCACTGGGGCTGCATCAGAGGCTGCCAGCAGGCGCAGGGGACAGCCCACACGGCCCATGAGCCAGCTCTGCCCCTGGGCCCTGGGGACATAGCAGCACCTGGGGTCCCGCCTCCTGGATTTGGGCCTGCCTCGGCTCTGGCTAAAGTAAGCCAAGGAACAGGATCTCTCTCTCTCTCTCTCTCTCTCTCTCTCTCTCTCTCTCTCTCTCTCTCTCTGTATTTATCCCTTGTACTCTCTGTGTCTCGAAGCATTTTTTAGGGAACCAGCATGGTGGTGTGTCAGGTTAAGCTGCCATGTGTGGTGCTGGCACTGGTTGGGTCTGGGCTGCTCTACTTCTGATCCAGCTGCCTGCTTGTGCCCTGGGACAGCAAGAGGGGACAAGCCAAGTGCTGGGGCCCTGCGTCCAGGTGGGAGACCTGGCTGCTAGCTCCAGCCTGACCACACCTACCCATAGAGTCACCTGGGAAACGAGCCCGTGGAGAGAAGACCTTGTCTCTCCCTCGCCCAATTCTGTCTTTCAAATAAAATGAGTATTTTTTTTAATGTGTTGGTATATCAGGCTGAGACGCAATGCTATTTTCTTGCTAAGTCAGTGGACCTCTCCTTGTCCAGCAGCGTCTACGGGGACACAGCGTGTTGGGCCTTGGCCTCCGTGGCTGTGTTACCAGCTTTGTGGCCAGCGCCTCGCTGCTGTGCCTGCCTCCTTGATGGCAGCACCTACAGTGCTGGCCCCAGTGCACAGCAAAGCCAGCAGCCAGGCACTCTGTCGGCTGCCAGCTCATGGCGGCGGCCCGCCACCCTCCCTGGCAGCAGCCTGCTGCAGCCCGTCCAGCCATTCCTGTCCCTCTCCATTCTCTCCCACACAGACCTGGCCCTGAGGGCCCCGTGGGCAGCCAGCCCAGCCCTGAATGGTCCTGAGACTACATGGAAACTTTGTTGTTAGCAATCTCATCTGTGGTGGCTGTGGGCTGGTCCACCCCTCAGGTGTCCCCAACAGCCTGAGCTGGGGCAGGCCGAAGCTGAAGCCGGGAGCCTGGAGCTCCCTCGGGGTCTCCCTGTTACCGGGCTGTCCCGGCAGCTCCCGGGGCTGTTTTGCGGGCGGCTCAAGAGCAGTCAGAGCCAGGTGTCCCTCCAGGGCTGCAGCATGTAACATGGCCATGGGGCAGATCTGAGCAAGGCTGGATGCCCACCCAACAGCTTGTATGATAAAATGCACGGGAACTACGCCACATAAGCCACGTGCATGCAGCCACTGGCCACAGGCCCCTCCACCCCAGCGCTTCCTTGCCTCCCACGCAGAGCCCCACCACATCGATGGCACCTGGGCCACCTGCTCGGACCTCCACGGCAGAGGCGCATGGCTGGTCCTGCCCTCAGCTTTTGTCCTCAGTGTAGCAGGCGTCGGAATGTCCTTTTTTTCTTCTTCTTCATTCTTTTTAAAGATCTGTTTTTTATTTGAAAGAATTACACAGGGGAGAGGCACATATGTCCCATCTCCTGATTCAGGAGGAGGGAGAGGAGGAGGAGGGGCAGCAGGAGGGGCCCCCACTTTTGTAGGACGGCTGTGTTCACTAAGATGTCCTCACTGGGGTCACAGGTTGGCATTGTTTTTTTTTCCACCAGTTCCTGGTTTTCCTCATGTTGTGGGATGCCCTGGCTGGGGGGCAGTCCCTCAGGCCCCGCGGGTCCCGGGGCTCATCAGCCACCTGCCTGCTTCCTCCTCTCAGGCCTTCACCCCTCGACTCAACTGTGTCCAAGTGAGAGTGTGGCCCTGGGGATAGGGGTGCGTGCCAGGGGATCCTCCTGGGGGGCGGCGGGCTCTGAAAGTGCAGGGAGTGCTGGGGCACTGTAGATCCCTCCCCTGTGTGTGCACACAGGGCCAGTCAAGGGTCCCAGAGCAGCCGGGCTGGGCCCTGGCGTGGCGTGGCTGGGGGACCGGGACTGCCGGACGGGGCCCGGGCCGGGCTAGGCTGGGGGGCTGGGGCTGCCGGTCGGGGCTGGGGACGCAGACTGGTGACGTCAGCTCCTTGCAAAGCATGATGGGACCCAGGGAGCTTGGCTGAATTCTCAGGCCTGAAGGAGCTTGCTGCAGCTCGCTGGGCTTCAGGACAGGAGCCCACCCCATCAGCACAGGTGACTGCTGGCGAGGAGTAAGACAAGGGCGGCCAGCCCTGCCCACGCCGGGGCCGAGGGAGGGAACTCGAGCAAGTACAGCCTCGAGATGGACAAAGAGGAGCTATGCAGAGACAGCTGTCTGTCACCTCCACCG